GGGCAGCCTCGGTCTGAGCCTCCCGAGCAGGAGCGCCATCCTCCCGGGTCCACCTTAACCCGGGGCGAGCTGTGCCGCAGCTGCCCCATGCTCAGGAGAGGCTCCTGCAGGATCACAGGGGCGTTTATCTTGCCCGGGATCAGCCAATATTTGTGGCCACGTCAGGAGAACGAGCCCTTCCTCGCTCTCTGCTCCTGTAGAGTCCAGCGCTGCTGTCCTGCCACCGCACTCTGCTCTCACAGCCCCAGTTTGACTTTGGCTCATCCGACAGTTGGAGGAACACTATTTGCTGAGACCCCCAAGCTGTCACCTCCTGGCACCAGAGATGACAGCCATGGTGGCTTTCCTGCTCCTGAGCCTTCTGAGGATGGCGACTCCTAAGGGAGTGTGGTGCCCAGCCTGCGGGCTAGCGGCCCTGGCCCCCACCGTGCAGCGGGACGTCCTCATCACGATGGCAAAGCAGAGCATCCTCTCCAAGCTCCACTTGCCTGACAGGCCCAACATCACTCAGCCCACATCCAGGGGGGCCCTGCTAAACGCCCTCCACAGGATGCGTGCGCAGCGCATGGATATGGCTGTCTCCCCAGGGATGCCCCTTGATGGCAGCATCCTACACCTGCGTCCGGGTATGGGTGTGCAGGAGTACGAGATCTTGAGCTTTGCCAAGTCAGGTCTGTACAGACCCCGCATCCCATGGGCATGGTGGGATGGGCCCTGAGGTGGGAGGCACAGAGGGAAGGAAGGGGAAGGTGGTGAGAGGTTTCCTCCTCTGCACAGGCATTTCAAAAGCTCTGCACGGGGGCATCATGCTCCTGCAAGCAATGCCAGGCTATGGACCGGGCTGGTGGGCACACTGCTGCTGGAAGGACTGGCGATGAGAGGCTCTATATCCAGAACATTTGCATCCATGTCCTGAGCCTACCCCAACCCATGCACCCCTTGCCATGGGCAGGGGAAGCACTACTGAGGCTCTGGGGCCCCTCTCATTTACATATGGGCCATGGTGGGGCAAGGGGGTGAGTGCAGGAGCAAAGATGGACTGCTGTATCATGTGAATTTGTTGTCCATTTCTGTTGAACCCTCCCCGCTTGTGCTAGAGGTGGAGGGGTCAGATGGCCATGTTTTTCAAAATGTGATTTTAAGCCTAGATTCTCCATCAGCTCGCGATGTGTGGACTTAGGTCTCCAAAGCCCATCTGCTCCCCACACTCAGCTGTGTCTCCGCTTCCTAGCCAAAGTGGTGGGTTGCCACATTTCACTCCAGAATCAGCTGTGTTCCTGGGAGGAGAGAGCTCCCCAAAACATGCTCAAGGATCCTGACAAGTATCACTGGAAAAATAAGGTCCTGTCCTGTCCCGTCCACTTCTCCCAGGCAAATGCAGCCTTCTTTGGAAAGAAGCAGAATTTCTGCTCCATCCTGCAGAGCATCCTTCTGCACCATCACTTTGCCCAGCCCAGACTGCTGCTTGGTGAGGTGTGGGGGGCACAGACTCCCTTTGCAGGCATTTGTGTGGTTTGTGTGGCTGCTGTGGGATAGTGAGAGCTTGCTGTGTCCTTAAAGACGTCTGGGAACAATGGTCCTCCACAGTGTATTGTGTTTTCATACATGAGGACAATGGGGAGTTGTGTCCTGGCTCAGCGGAGTGTCTGCTGGCAGTGGAAGACCCGGTGTGAGCCACGGGGCTGAGCCCAGTGTCTCACCCCACTGTGCTGCGCAAGAGCACAGAGGAGGGGGGTTGTATCCTCACAGGCAGAGCTGTGCCGAGGAGCCCAGTGCTACTCTCACGGTCCCTGGCACCCCTTTCTCCACGAGGAGGAGAGGCAGCTCTGCAGCCTCAGCAGCAGCAAGGGTGGGACATGCTGGAGCAATGTCAGGTGATGGTTCCAGCCGTGGAAAGTAGAGGTAATCCTGGAGGGGCAAATCAGCGCGACTGCCTTAAATCCAAGGCTGGTTTACACAGCCAGATAACCTACTCTAAAATCCTCCAGCAGTTTCACTGACAAGGGGGATATCAGGCCAGAGGAGGCGGAACCAAGCTGGGTTGCTGCATTCAGCACTGGACCCAGATGTGGCTGCTTTAGAGCTGTTTAAGAAGGAAGACCAGCAGCAGTGCAGGGAAGTGGGGGCCGCTCAATGCCTGCATGTACTGTACCCTGCTCCTTGGCTTGGATATACCTCCCACTTGGTCCGACTTGGTGGCTGCCAGCTGGGGGAGGTCCTCCCCTCACCCCTTCACCCCCTGACTCTGCTTTTGGTTCTGTGCACAGGGTCTTCCACCTCCCGCACAGTTCGCCTGCATTTCCACTTCACCCGGGAGCTGGCTAGAAGCACCGAGATCCTGCAAGCCACCCTCTACCTGTTCTGGGCAGTCCCTGGCCCTGGAACACATCCTGTCACCATGAGACTCTTGCACCCAGACCCGATGGGGCTGAACATGACCATGGCCAGTGAGACACAGCTGGAAGTGCAGAGGGCTGGCTGGGCCACGCTGGATGTGGGCCGAGCTGTCCAGAGCCTCTTTGGCCAAGGGAGCCAGAGGCTCACTGTGGAGCTGGAAGTGGCAGAGGATTGGGGGTCTCCCCTCCTGGCTGGCCACAGTGATTCCCACTGGCCATTTGTGGCAGCCCGAGCCCGGGCCAGGACGACCCACCGGGTCCAGCGGCGCGGCATTGATTGCAGTGGGGACTCTCGGATGTGCTGTCGCAAGGAATTCTTTGTGGACTTCAAGGAGATCGGCTGGGAGGACTGTATCATCCAGCCGGAGGGATATCACATGAACTACTGCACGGGGCTCTGCCCTCTGCACATGGCTGGCATCCCTGGCCTTGCCGCCTCCTTCCACACGGCTGTCCTCAACCTCATCAAAGCCAACAACGCGGACGCGGCTGTGGACTCCTGCTGCGTGCCCACGCAGCGTCGCCCCCTCTCTCTGCTCTACTATGACCGGGACAGCAACATCGTCAAGACTGACATCCCCGACATGATTGTCGATGCCTGTGGTTGTACCTGACCGGCTGCCTGCGGAGGCAGGAGGGCAGGACCTGTGCTGCACAGGGCTCTCCTCCCTGCCCCTCTCTGGCAGTGTGAGACCTGGTGAGCTGATGAGAGATGGGAAGCCTTGCAAGGTGTTTTCTCCTCCTGAGGTTGAAGCATCAAGGGTGATGCTGAATCTGCAAGTCCTCCCTTACCTCCCACACGGCTCTTTTCCCCCTTCAGATCTGCCCATGGATTCCTCTCTGCCCATGAACAACGGTCTCTGGGACTGGCTCCTGACAGACACCAGACCCTTCTACCTGCAGGACTCTGCAGAACATGACTCCCCAGGTGGCTCATAGCAGCCCCAGCTCACCCTACTGCTGGTCCCAGTCCAAGGCCATGGTGCAGCCCTCAGTGCTGCAACACGAACATGTGCTTTTCAGGTAACGGGTCCCAACAGTGGCCACCTCTGGCTGCTGGGGGAGATAGAAGCTGAAAAGATGCTGGGGGATGGCTAGGCCAGAGGGGAGAGAGCCATCCACAGGGCCCCACTCCTCAGCTGGACATGAGGTTGAGGAGGGTGAGGAAGGGGAAATTGATCCCAGTGGGACGAAAATGTCTCCCTCTCCAAGCATCCCAGCTACCTGGTGTTCAATAAAAAGACTGCCAGCCGTAGAGTGCACATGTATGTGTACACATATGCGTGCCCTGTCATTAACCAGCACATCTTCCACCTCTCCCCAAGGTGCAAGGCAGTGGATGTGCCCTACTACAGACAGCCCCAAGATGGCACAGAACTGACCCGTTCTGCCATGCACAGTCCTTTTCTAACCAACGACTTAGTTATAAAACACAGGCAGCAGGGTTGGGCATCCATCACCAGGATGCACTGTGCCCAAAGACTGCAATGCTGCTGGCCCCCACAGCTCTCATGCTCTCTGCCCCTTGGCTGCCTTTCCCAGGGGCTATGCAGAACCTCTGGCTTGTCTCAACCAGATCCAAGGCATGGTGTGGGAGCCACTGGACACCGGGGGCTTGTGATTCCCACCTGAGAAGGCACCATTCCTCGACTGGGCCAAATTTTCCATTCCACCAAAACCATCTGTATTTGGCCATTCTTGCCCCAAGTCAGGACAAAACTGAGCAACGCTTCTCCCTTTTAAAGTGGACAGAGACTGCCAGGCAAGACTGCCAAAGCCACAGTGCCCAGGACACCCAACCTTGCCTACAACCCCATGCCAGTTCCCTCACTTAGGGAGCAACCTCTCTGGCGTGCAGCCCAGAGCAGCTGCCCCCCTCGCTGCCCTTTGCCAGCCTGGCTGGTGGCAAAGTGGGACATGTCAGCGCCGTGAGAGCTGGGGACAAAGGGCGGCTCTGACACATCAGCCTCATTACGTAATCTCATGTTAGGGTTTCTCCACTGCTTCCCACGTGTCCCCCATGTGTGAGAGCTGAGAAAGCAGGGAGAGGGTGCTGGAGGTGGGAGAGGGAGGTTCATGAGCGGAGCTCCTGGGGTGATCTCCCAAGGTACATGCAGCTGTCTGGGGTAGAACTGCGTGACTGCAGTCCCATGGTCCACCCTGCAAGCACTGATGACCATGCCCCAGAGGTTGGAGATGGAGCTGAACCAGGTGGGAAGAGGGTCGGCAGAGGGAGGACAGTGGTGTCAGACCCGCTCTCGATCTGGCTTGAAGGACAGCTTTGCCTCTGCTGACTCACTCCAGGATCAGGCCAGAATAGTCAGAGCCATGAGCAGCTCTGGCCGGAGTGGGGTCCAGGATGCGCATTACCCCAGAGGACCTGTGACACCTTGAGCAGAGATGGAACAACCACTAGCAGGAGACAGTGTTTGCCTACGTTGCATGTGTCCTGAAGCAGGCACTCCCACTGAGCCCTGCTGGAGTGGGGACCCTCACCTCCCCATCAGGTCGCAGCAGCCACTGTGCTGAGATCCAGGCTTCCAGACCTTGGTGCCTCCAGGACTCAGACCTGAAGGGTTCCCGCTGACCCAGTTGCTGCACAGGCAGGGTGGAAGACTCAGGGATCAATACTGTCTGGGACCCAAGGCCACTTGCGCAAACCCAAAGAGGGCTTGGTGTTTGGTTTTTTCTGTTTTTTCCCCTTCTTTTTCCAATGCCTCTTTTCACTGTCTGTATTTATTGAACAAACAGCTTTCCTGGGGCCAATGCTGAGCTCTCTAGGCTGCTACAGGCATGGGCAGAAACAGGCTGAGTGAAGGAGCAGAGGAGTTGTTGGCTGGGCCCTGTGGCCCTACAGATGCCTCAGCTCAGGGCAGCACCCGCCCGAGACCCTGAGCTGAGGCATCTGTAGGTGCCGCAAGCCCTCGAGCTGGGATGGGGTGCCCCCAGTTCCCCTTCTTGGCCCCACAGCACTCCTGCCGGGCACTGCCCCGACTCCCCACAGGGCTCAGAGCAGAGGGGCGCTGGCTGCCTGTTGCTGCCGCACAGCCCCTGCAGGGCATGTGTGCCTTGCCTGAAATGGCCCCCTCTCACTACCTGCCCCCCAAACCCTGGCTCCGCCCTTTGCTGGGCTGCACATGCACTCTCTGGACACCAAAGGACACACAGCAGGCTCTGCCCGTCAGCCCTGTGGGGACACAGGGATGGGGGGCATCTCCCAGTCCAGATCTCCCTGGACCTGTGAGTTGTCACCATGTTGCCTTCTGTCGCCTGGGCTGTGGTACAGCCAGCCCAAGCCCCACAGGGCTACTGCATCCCAATGGACATGAAGGTCCTGCTGATTTGGGGTGCCTGGGTTAGCAGCAGCTCCCCCAAGAGGGCTCCCAGCCTCTGAGCCCCCTCCCCCTAGTCCCTGGTATCTTGAGATTAGGGCAGAACACGTTGTTCTGGGTGTTTGCCAACCACCTGAAAATGTGCCTTCTCCAGTCCCTTCAGGTCAGAGGTTCCCCAGATGAGCAAGGGTCCCATAACAGAGGCCGTCCTCTCCACACATGCAGCTTGTCCCGTTCCCACGGGAAACAGGATGCCTGGGTGCAGCCTACAGCGCCTTCCCCACTTGCAGCATGGGGCAAGGATGACTAAGGTTCAGGAATCCCACGGTGGCACTCCCACCTGGGGAACACTGCAGGGTGAGGAGAGTGCAGTCAAGGAAGGGTGATCCCCTGAAGCCAGGCACAGCCCCCTCCCTGCCCGCTGTGGGGCTGGCATAGGGCAGGGGCCCATAGCAGGCAGGGGCCCTCAGCAAACACAAGGAGCTGCTCAGCCCCCACAACTGGTGGCTGCGTATTTATAGCGCTAACAAACTGGACATGGAAAAGTGACTATCTGGGCTTCACCGCAGCCCTGGCTTGTTTTGCAAGTCTTCCCCCTCATCAGCGAAAGTAACCTTGGTGTTAAGTGTGAACGCAAGAGTACCAAGTCAGGCTCTTCAGGGAGCAGAACAGAAAACCTGAGAGCAGCAGGATGCAGGGTGCATCCACTCGTCCTTCGCTGGTGGGAAAAGAGAGGGGATGAGGGTGGTGTTCACATTATGGTGTCCCCTCTCCCCCTGCTCTGACACCACACTTCTGCTGGGGTCCACTGTTCACTCAGTGTGCTTTGGAGGGGGTGTCTCAGGCAGACATGCCCAGCTGCTGTGAGATGCTGCCACACTGGTCCCACTGGGACCAGTAAGCCTGGCAGGGAGCCTGCCCTGCAGCACCCCAGCCTGGCCCAGTGTGGGAGATGCCACGCAGACAGCATCGACCCAGCACTTGGGATGTGCCCTTGGGCTGTGCCAGATCTGACACAGAGGGGAACACAGGGCTGCACGAGGTGCTGTCCCCTCAGCCTCCGCTCCGGGAGGGGACAGGGATGTGCAGCTGC